AAAATGGAAAATTTCTTAAAACAAGCCGCTGGAGTCGCTGAAGAAATAGTATCTGATTTAGATGAGTTAGAAGTAAGTGGTGAAGATCACAAGAAAATATCGCTTTCTGAATGCCAAACCCCTGTGGAACCACAAAAGATAACAACCAAAAGATATGTCCGACAATGCAAGAAAACTACGATGTCGACAACCCACAAATGATATCAAAGAAGAAAGAAGCAAATCAATATCTAGTTTAAACAAAGCTTATTTTTATCATGGATGTTTTTTTTTCAAGAAATCAAAGTGATACAATATATATATATATATATATATATATATATATATATATATATATATATATATATATATATATATATATATATATATATAAATTTGAAAATTTTACAGTGTCCGGTTTTTATATAGGTAAAATTAAAATAAAAAAGGCAACACAGATTAAAACGTTAGCGCTTTCATTACATCTTCAGACGTTTTACAAATGCATTCTTTATCCTGACTGCAATGTCTTACAAAACTATTAATACTTTAAAAATCATTATCTATAATTGAATCTGACAGCAAGCAATTAAATGCTTGCAGTTTGTTCACACCTTTGAAACCAAATCCGACATGTGTTTATACTCTTAGCCGGAGAACATCGAAAGGTTACACTCTGTGTGAAAGTTTTATCAGAAATCAAATTAAATCAAACTGTTAAGACTGGGATTAAATTTTTGAATGAAATATTTCTCTTTTTCTCTTCTTTCTTTTATATTGTCTTTAAAAAGTTTATAAAAAGGGAACACTTTAAACTGTCCTTGTCCGCATCTATCAATGTGTTCGCTGAGTTTGATCTTACGGTACTCAGGAACTTGAATATGCTGTTTATGCACGCGAATTCTGGCTCTCAATGTGGTCCCCGTTTCACCGATGTAGAATTGGTTGCATCCTCCGCAAGTAATAACATATATTAAATTTTTGGACTCACATGTCATGTCTGAATTAATAAAGAAATCTTTTCCTCTGAAATTAAATGATGTTCCTTCTCTTAAAACAGAACATGTGCCACATCGCGGATCTTTACATTTTGTCACGGATTTTGTAGATTTCGTTATTTTGGAAGGACAGAGTATTCTTCTGAGGTTTTTGGGCTGCCTTTTGCTGTTTATAAACTTGAATTTTGAAAGAACATTTGACATTTCTTCATCCGTTTTGAGAATTTCGTTCAGATTTTGAACGATAGGTGTAATATTTGGGTTTTTAGGATTGTAAGTTGTGACTAGTGGTAATATTTTAATATTTTCCTCATCATTAGGAGTTGGATTAATTAATTCTTCTCTGTCTAATTCCTTTGCTTTTCTGATGCCGTCGTTGATTAAGCTTAAAGGATAATGTTGGTCTGTGAGAAATATTTTCAATTCATCCAGACGTTGATTTCTGGTTTCCTCCTCACTTACTATTGTGCATATTCGTCGGGCTAGGTTGTAAGGTATTGCTCTTTTAATGTGTCGCGGATGGGAAAATCCAAAATGCAAATATTGATGAGTGTCAGTACTCTTATAAAATATATCTGTTGCAATTTTGTTGTTTTCCTTACAGATTAATACATCTAAAAATGGTAATTGAGTAGAACTTTTTTCCATTGTAAATTTAATATCTGGGTCTAATTCATTTAAGATATCATTTAAAATGTTCAAATCTGAATCATCTTTTTTCCATATAATAAAACAATCATCCAGATATCTTTTCCAGTTTCTCTTAAGATATTCGCAAAATTCTGCATCAAACTGTTCATTAGCTTTTTCATATAGTGCTTCTTCTAGGTATCCAAGGGTAAGTGTTGCATATGTAGGGGCCATTTTGGTACCCATGGCTGTACCTTTCACTTGATGAAAATATTTGTCATTGAAAGTAAACACATTGTTCTTTAAAACTAATTCGGTGGCTTCCAGTAAAAATTCTTTTGTAAACCGTTTGTCAATTTTATTTCTGTAATTTTCAATCCAAAAATTTAAAGCCTTGATTCCTAAGGTACTGGTTATATTGGTGTACAGATTTACTACATCTAAGGTTACAAGTTGTGAATCAAAATCGACCTGTTTAGGTAGATGTCGTAAAAAATCTAAATCGTCCCGAACAAAACTTTTAACGTGTTGGCAGAGAGGTTTCAACACTATATCTAGTAGATTGCTGAGACGTTGGGTAGGTGCTTCGGGTCCTCCAACAATCGGTCGGAATGTTAGATCTTGTGGATTTTCACAAACAATATATTCGGCGTTTTGTTTTTTTATAGCTTCTTTGATTAATTTTGATTTGTGTATTTTAGGTAGCCCATAGAAACAACTTTCCTTATAGTCAAAATTAATTACAAAATCTTCCTCCTTTTCTGATAATACTGAGGAGTGTTTATGTAACAATTTCTTAATTTTTTGCATAGCTTTTTTATCCTGGTTTTCAGCAACTTCTGTGTAGAATTCTGTATTGGAAAGCATATGTGTTATCTTTCTTTCATAGTAAGCGGCGTTCATAATAACCACAGCTACTCCTTTATCAGCTTCTTTAATGATGATAGTTTTATCGCTTGCTAAGGATCGTAAAGCTTTCTCCTCGTTTTTGGACAAGTTATTTCTTACTGATTTATTATGTGTTGTATCAAGTGTTAGACTTTGAAGAGTTTCACAAACAGTATCTAACATACCATTTCGTCCTTTTTTGGGATTGAAATTAGATTTATTTCTAACTAAATCCTCCGGTTCATTTGAATCCGATTCATCACTCTCTGTGGTGTTAAAGTATTCTGCTAGTCGTAATCTACGTGTGTATTCTTTAATATCTTTTTTTAACTCTTGCTTATTGCTATTAGGAGTCGGTGTATATTTTAATCCCTTTGACAAAAGTTTTATTTCCCATTCATTTAGTTGTTTACTAGACAAATTGATTACTTTTGGTTCCACGCGTTTTTCATTTGTTGATGATGCTGGAATCTCTGTCCGCTGTTCGGTTTGCCGCCGCCTAAAAAATACTTGTTAACTCTTTTTCCAATGTAGGTGATTCCATTTTTCTTGTAGGTATTTTCTTGGAAGTTATTTGGCATTCCATAACCGTTTCCGTATTTGTTGTTGAAATGATTAAGTTCACCTCTTCTCCATGATTGCGTGTTGTTGTTTTTTCTTTTATTAAAATTACGATAATGTGGTTTGTTGTTTTGTTTTCCTACATACAGACCCTAAACCGTGCTACTACACCACTTGCACGGTACGGTTCGGTACGCTTTGTTCACGGAACGGTTCGCTTTGTTCACGGTACGGTACGCTTTGTTCACGGAACGGTTCGCTTTGTGCACGGAACGGTACGCTTTGTGCACGGTACGGTTCGCTTTATGCACGGAACGGTACGCTTTGTGGACGGTACGTTTCGTTTCTTGCACGGAACGGTTCGTTTTGTGAACGGTACGCTTTGGGAAACGGTATGCAAATGAAGTGGGCGGAGCCTGTTAGCTTTGGTCATTGATTGGCTGCTAAAAAATAGTCCAATTTAAACGAATTTTGAAGATCGTTATGCACGTGTACAATTTTATTTCCGTTATTAAAGAATGTAATTTATTTATTTTTCATATAAATTGAAGTATTTATGAGTTTCTATTTATTAGGGAAGTTCAAATGTTTTATTACATGTACATGTATGCTATAATTGTATTTATCATAGCCTTATGTGCTATGTTTCGGTTTCAATTTTAAAAATTAATTTACACTGAAACAGTGATGGAGGAAATAAGAAAATAAAATGAAAGGAAAAACATCGTCCCACTGATCTTTTTGGCATTTGTTAATATATTGATATATAAAAGGTAAATATTTCCGTACGTATTTTAATTTTACGTATGCCGAGGCTGTGTCTTAAATAGAAAAAAGACACACATGCATATGATAATTTTTCATTCTAGAATAAAGCTTTAACAGAATTGAATATATACTTGTTCTATATTTAACACTATACACGTATATAAATTATTTTCAATTGATTGATCTATAGAAAAAAATATGACTATTCGTGCTTTTATTTTTAATCTTAGTAATAAGAAATGTAGATTGTTTCTCATTTTTAAAATTGTTTGATCTATCGTTTTAATGTCTGCCTTAGAAGAGAAATATCAGTAACAAAAAATAAATTTATTAATAAAAAATGTTGAAGAAAAATAATTTTTAAAAATTTACAGGGCATAGAATACTTGTTTGTTTTTGTTTTTTTTTCTTTTTTCTTATGTAAATCTTTATTTAATCTGAAAATCAATTACTCTGAATTTAGATACGAAAATCAGAAGCAGAAACTCGGAATCAATGAAATGACTTCCGATCGCATTTCGCGAGAAGAAAACATTTCTTTTCATAAACTAGTATTATGTTTTTAAAAATCCTTTCAGTCTAAGTAATTATTTAAATAAGTTTTTCTTCATTTTGATAAGTTATTCTTTTCTTGTAAAATGTGTAAATACTATGTCGTGAAAGAGAGAGAGAAAGAGGGAGAGATGCAACCCCGTTACATAATCTGTAAAAAAAAAACAATACCTTGTATTTATCTCATTCTTGGTTTTATTTACATCGCCAAAGTCACAGATGCTATTTAATTTCCACAACTTTGGTTCAAACTCAACCTATTTACAACTATTGCGCAATGAATTCGTTCTCTGCACATACATGCTGTACGCAGGAAATCCTTGCGCATCACCTGTCAATCAAAATCGCATGACGCTAGGTGACCTTGAAAGTTTGTTTACGCGGAAAGAATTTCTCATTCTGATGGTCAGTTCAGAGTTCACACCTTTTTAAAAATATTGGGTCACAGCCAGAGGGTCGGGGTGCCGTGTATTTAACACACCTTTCAAATTATTTAACTTTGACTACATCAAGTGTACATGCATTTTTAAAACTCACTCAGCTGACATTCAGCGAAACTCATCTACTTCCTGAAATGTCCCTTTTCAGACACAATTAGATAAGGGTGTATCTATTAATTATCATGATAGCGTCACAGACTTTTGATGAGTTTTAACTAGCTAATTAGTATCGCCTTCTAGAAAAGGGGGGGGGGGTAACAAACATAATGTGGCTTGAAAGAGGATTGAGAAAAATCATTGTATTTTTTATTTTCATTTTATTTAAGTTATCCTTTTTTCAGACACAAATAAGCATGTATCCTGTAGACTATGATTTTTATTAGTCAGATTATATCCGTTCAGTAGAAATCTGAAGTTCCTGTTTACCGCATGTAATATTTAAATCCATATTTGACAGAATTGCCGATTTTCAGTGTAAGTCTAACTGCATCAGTGATTCTCCGAGTATAATTATCTGAGCAGAATTAATTAATATATGAGTCTAATACATTCATTTTTTTTATTTTACTCTAGCCAGACAGTTCATAATTATATGTTTTAAATTTCTTACAAAATAATTAATTAGTAAAATCAGGCACCTGATATGAACTACATATGAATGCATACTTACGGCAAAAACGATCGTGTATCTGATTCAGCAATTGAAATGGGCAAAATTAAAATCGAAATTAAGTCAAGACAACCAGGGAATTAGTTTAAACATCTGTATAGTTAAATTACGAATATTTAAGTACAACAAACTTTTTTTAAAAAAAAGTTGATTCTTAAATAAAGAAAATGAAAATATTTATTATCAGTTCCGTAATGGGGAACTGTTATATACCGTGTTACACGGTGTCCACAATCGTTGACTTCAAAGATGCCGACATCGAGTTCAAGGTTCACGGTGCCCGTGTTTTGCGGGAAAAACTCGTGGCCTGTACTGTACCTTTGATCACAAACACAACGAGTTGATCTAATTTATAGCAAATAAGTAATCAATGTAAACTCTGTCTAGTTGTTTTGAATTTTCACAGTTGAAAGCCCAAATGCATGTTACTTGATAATGGTGTTTCAAGTAGCCAGACATAACCTCCGTCCTCTTTCACGGGCGCTATTGAGAGAAATAAACCAAAATGACTTATTTGGTCAAAGCACGGTTCGAAAATCATTGGGGGCGTGGTTTGCATAATTAACCAAAGAACGGTACGGTTCGTTTCTTGCACGGAACGGTACGCTTTGTGGACGGTACGGTACGCTTTGAGCACGGAACGGTTCGCTTTGTGCACGGTACGGTACGCTTTGTACACGGAACGGTTCGCTTTGTGGACGGTACGGTACGCTTTGAGAACGGAACGGTTCGCTTTGTTCACGGTACGGTACGCTTTGTGCACGGAACGGTACGGTTCGTTTCTGAGGTGTAGTAGCACGGTTTAGGGTCTGTACCTTTTTTGCTCTTGATGTTGTAATATATGCTTCTGTTGTCTAATTTTTGTTGGCCTGTTATTGTTTTTTTGGTGAAAATTTTGACGGACAACGTCAGCAAAACTGGCTTCGCTTTTTGTCGATTTGTTTGACAATTTTCCATTTGTTTTAGGTTTCTTTTGACTCTTTTCTTTGACTATGTTGTTACCATATTTTCTTACGTAATCTAATTGCCATATTTCCTTCATCCTCCACTTATCATGTGCTCGTTTTTCCCTTTTCTCGCAATCGGATTTCCACATATCTTCCAGGATTTCTAAAATTCTTCCGCTTGCTTTCTTCGTTAGTTCATTTTTCATTTGTTCGTCAATTTGAAGAACTTTTCCTGTGAATTTGTATACCTCATACGAAACAGTTGTATCTCTCCTTTTACTCTTTCTATAGCCATATAAGCTCGGATATTTCTCTGATCCTCTGGTTCTCCGTATATTTCCGTTATTCTAAATTTTCTAGGTAGGATTGGATTTTCTTCTCCGAGTCATTTTTCATATTGGATTGCATCATTGGCATTGTTAATTGTTTTCCAAAAGACTTGTGATCTTGAGTTAAGTTCCCTATTCCATTCAACTTTCATTTTTTGTTTAATTTTGTCTGCCTCTTTTTGCAGTGCAAGCTCATTAATTTCTTGTTGGATTATTTCACTTGGTGAATGATAATTCATCCAATTTTCTCCCACATTTACAGATTTTACAAATGTTTCAGCGTTGTCACTGTTCTCCGTACGATTTTCACATACCTTGATCAGATCTCGCAGTAGATCATTCGTTGTATCCATTTTCTCTCCTATGTTATTCATCGTTTCAAGGATGTTGAAAAGAATACCTTCTGTATTTATTTCTCCTCCTTTTCTTTTATCCCTCTGACTATCTTTTCTTGTTGCCATCTCGGTCACTGGTTAACAATATCCAAATTTGAAAATTTCACAGTGTCCGGTTTTTATATAGGTAAAATTAAAATAAAAAAGGCAACACAGATTAAAACGTTAGCGCTTTCATTACATCTTCAGACGTTTTACAAATGTATTCTTTATCCTGACTGCAATGTCTTACAAAACTATTAATACTTTAAAAATCATTATCTATAATTGAATCTGACAGCAAGCAATTAAATGCTTGCAGTTTGTTCACACCTTTGAAACCAAATCCGACATGTGTTTATACTCTTAGCCGGAGAACATCGAAAGGTTACACTCTGTGTGAAAGTTTTATCAGAAATCAAATTAAATCAAACTGTTAAGACTGGGATTAAATTTTTGAATGAAATATTTCTCTTTTTCTCTTCTTTCTGTTATATTGTCTTTAAAAAGTTTATAAAAAGGGAACACTTTAAACTGTCCTTGTCCGCATCTATCAATGTGTTCGCTGAGTTTGATCTTACGGTACTCAGGAACTTGAATATGCTGTTTATGCACGCGAATTCTGGCTCTCAATGTGGTCCCCGTTTCACCGATGTAGAATTGGTTGCATCCTCCGCAAGTAATAACATATATTAAATTTTTGGACTCACATGTCATGTCTGAATTAATAAAGAAATCTTTTCCTCTGAAATTAAATGATGTTCCTTCTCTTAAAACAGAACATGTGCCACATCGCGGATCTTTACATTTTGTCACGGATTTTGTAGATTTCGTTATTTTGGAAGGACAGAGTATTCTTCTGAGGTTTTTGGGCTGCCTTTTGCTGTTTATAAACTTGAATTTTGAAAGAACATTTGACATTTCTTCATCCGTTTTGAGAATTTCGTTCAGATTTTGAACGATAGGTGTAATATTTGGGTTTTTAGGATTGTAAGTTGTGACTAGTGGTAATATTTTAATATTTTCCTCATCATTAGGAGTTGGATTAATTAATTCTTCTCTGTCTAATTCCTTTGCTTTTCTGATGCCGTCGTTGATTAAGCTTAAAGGATAATGTTGGTCTGTGAGAAATATTTTCAATTCATCCAGACGTTGATTTCTGGTTTCCTCCTCACTTACTATTGTGCATATTCGTCGGGCTAGGTTGTAAGGTATTGCTCTTTTAATGTGTCGCGGATGGGAAGATCCAAAATGCAAATATTGATGAGTGTCAGTACTCTTATAAAATATATCTGTTGCAATTTTGTTGTTTTCCTTACAGATTAATACATCTAAAAATGGTAATTGAGTAGAACTTTTTTCCATTGTAAATTTAATATCTGGGTCTAATTCATTTAAGATATCATTTAAAATGTTCAAATCTGAATCATCTTTTTTCCATATAATAAAACAATCATCCAGATATCTTTTCCAGTTTCTCTTAAGATATTCGCAAAATTCTGCATCAAACTGTTCATTAGCTTTTTCATATAGTGCTTCTTCTAGGTATCCAAGGGTAAGTGTTGCATATGTAGGGGCCATTTTGGTACCCATGGCTGTACCTTTCACTTGATGAAAATATTTGTCATTGAAAGTAAACACATTGTTCTTTAAAACTAATTCGGTGGCTTCCAGTAAAAATTCTTTTGTAAACCGTTTGTCAATTTTATTTCTGTAATTTTCAATCCAAAAATTTAAAGCCTTGATTCCTAAGGTACTGGTTATATTGGTGTACAGATTTACTACATCTAAGGTTACAAGTTGTGAATCAAAATCGACCTGTTTAGGTATCAGAAAAGCAAAGGAATTAGACAGAGAAGAATTAATTAATCCAACTCCTAATGATGAGGAAAATATTAAAATATTACCACTAGTCACAACTTACAATCCTAAAAACCCAAATATTACACCTATCGTTCAAAATCTGAACGAAATTCTCAAAACGGATGAAGAAATATCAAATGTTCTTTCAAAATTCAAGTTTATAAACAGCAAAAGGCAGCCCAAAAACCTCAGAAGAATACTCTGTCCTTCCAAAATAACGAAATCTACAAAATCCGTGACAAAATGTAAAGATCCGCGATGTGGCACATGTTCTGTTTTAAGAGAAGGAACATCATTTAATTTCAGAGGAAAAGATTTCTTTATTAATTCAGACATGACATGTGAGTCCAAAAATTTAATATATGTTATTACTTGCGGAGGATGCAACCAATTCTACATCGGTGAAACGGGGACCACATTGAGAGCCAGAATTCGCGTGCATAAACAGCATATTCAAGTTCCTGAGTACCGTAAGATCAAACTCAGCGAACACATTGATAGATGCGGACAAGGACAGTTTAAAGTGTTCCCTTTTTATAAACTTTTTAAAGACAATATAACAGAAAGAAGAGAAAAAGAGAAATATTTCATTCAAAAATTTAATCCCAGTCTTAACAGTTTGATTTAATTTGATTTCTGATAAAACTTTCACACAGAGTGTAACCTTTCGATGTTCTCCGGCTAAGAGTATAAACACATGTCGGATTTGGTTTCAAAGGTGTGAACAAACTGCAAGCATTTAATTGCTTGCTGTCAGATTCAATTATAGATAATGATTTTTAAAGTATTAATAGTTTTGTAAGACATTGCAGTCAGGATAAAGAATGCATTTGTAAAACGTCTGAAGATGTAATGAAAGCGCTAACGTTTTAATCTGTGTTGCCTTTTTTATTTTAATTTTACCTATATATATATATATATATATATATATATATATATATATATATATATATATATATATATATATATATATATCTTGTTTAGTTTAAAAATTGAATTTTAAATATGATAGATTGTTTTTTAGAAAAATTAATATTTCTGCCGGTAGTTTTTTTCTTCCTTGTATTCTTTGTCATTTTTCTTCAACAATTTTTCACTTCAAAACTGACAAAAGTATAATTATTAGATATAAAACGTGATCAATTGAGGGATATGGAGATAAGGAACATTACTCAATATCAGAGTCCATAAAAATAGCTAGGAGCAGAGAAAACACTGACCTCCAATACATCAGAGGTGGAATCAGGTGCCATATCATGAACGAGTGAGCATCCCTGCCGATCGGTCACACCCGCCGTGTCCTCCTTGATATGCTCAGGAATTAATTAAAAAAAAAATCCGTGTTCAATTCAGTGTACATGTATAAATTATGGACTGACAATTAGTATGAAAAACGTCAATCAGCATTTGACTCAACGATAAATTTTGTTCGATGACTAGGTCACTCTACCGACCGACCATGGAACTTATGAAAAGATTTAAAGACTCTAACGAGACTGCTGATTTTCTTGTTTCATCAACATTTTTATCAATACTTTACCTCGTTTAGGAAATTGTTCATACGTAGAGCATGCTCTTGCGTATCGAATCAACTAAGATATATAAACTCCGTATGCAGGTGAGGTATATTGCTGCATAAGTAAGGGAGGTTGACGATAGAAAAGTTAAAGTCATCAGGTTTATCATGAAGCTTGTTTGTTAGATTATTCTTAATGTCTTCTTCAAATAAAATATCCAAGTATGAAACAGATGTGTCAAACTCTGTGTTATCTTTTATCTCAAGCTCACCGATATATCGTATCAACATAGGAATGGAAATTTCCATTGTTAATTGACAATACGTCGTCGACATATCTGCATGTGGAGTTGAAGGCCACAGCAAGTGTTTTCTTCTTTTCACGCATAAGATTTTGCACTTATTCTGCTTCATATGAATACAAAAAAGGTCTGCTAATAACGGAGCGCAATTGGTACCCATGAGAATTCAAATAGATTTTTGGAAGACCTAGTCTCCAAACACCATATAGAAATTGTCAATCAGAAACTCAAGCATTTTTAAATGTCAGTTTTAGAGTACTTGTGTGTGCAATCAGAAAGTGTTTTAACAGAATAATTTTGCAAATGACCAATGACCAGGTAAGTAAATTTGCAAGTTCCATTTTTTAAGCAGCTTTCAATGATATCAAAAAGCCTAAATTTATCGTGGGGAAAAATTTTGTGATTTCAAATTGTCAAAAAGTTCTTTGGAAGTTTTGAGTATTCACATCTGATTCACACCACTTCTTGAAAATATTGTTGCACAGTACTCTTGAATTTTTTCCTTCACTACTATCAATACCTTAATGAGGTGTAAAGAAAGAGGCTTTGGCTTGGTTGAACATTTACTGAAAACCGCAATGTATTTTTGTAAGGATTCTTATAAAATTTAGGAATCCAATATACATGTATACCCCATATGATGTATCAAATTCATTTTGGTTCCTAGGGATTAAAAATATGCAAAACTTACAATTGATTTTGAAGATTCTTTTCCTTTGAAAGGGAACTAACGTGTCCAGCAGGACTATAGTACATCTATAGGGCGAAGAAAAACATTAAAACGATGGAGGATTATGTTTCAAATTTTCCATATCCAGGCCATGTAAAGTTTTTTTGTAATTGAAAGTTTGAAAGCAATTGTTCATGTACGTTTGTAGAAAATACAAGGTGCAGTCTTTGACTTGAAATATGGTTAAAAAGAAGACTGCGTGAACCCTTTTGTGATTAAGAATATTACTTAGATGAGCCGCATTAATTCCTTTATTGGAATATTAATGATAAAGGAAAAGACGGATTGTTTTGACTGGATTTTCTTAAGTAAAAGGTGCAGTTTAAAAAAGCTATGATTTGCAATATCTATAATCACACACCCGAGCCTATATTCTGGTGTCGAGGAATCAAAAAGTGGACTTTCCTTGGCCTTTTTAAGAAGACTATTTAAAAGTTTCAAAAGGACAGAGAAAAGTTTGGTGCGTATATGATGTAGACCTAACTGTTGATTTAAGGACATTCGATCCTCAGCCAGGAAGGATATCTCCAAAAATCAATATTTAATTTAAAATGCATCAAAATAAAGCTTGAAAATGAAATTTTATCATGCAACAATTTTCATTTTATTCATCTTTATAAGATTCAATGTTTTTGGAAGTCTTAGAAAAGGTCTTTATAAAGTTGATATTTGTACCCAATAAAAGGGGAAAAAATAATACAGTTTTAGAGAAATAAGATTTTCTTGAATCCAGGCTTAGATACCAATGCTTATTAGTATGATTTGAAATACGTAGTGATTTATGGTGTCTTGCAATGATAGCAAAAGCCTTTTACACTATGTACTATTGAATATATGACGAAAAAAAGGACAAAAAATACCAAAAATGTATAAAAATCATGACAATTTCTCTGAATGCCTGGATACCTATCGTTTTTAAACCTAAAATATAATTGTTGATCAATTAGCAATTAGAAAATGCATTGCAGATGTTCTAATTCTCTTTTTCTGCAAAAATATTGAAGATTTGTCAATTTTCCCTACATAATGTGATTAACTTTAATCTTTAACTTTAAAGAAATAATGTGGACAAATTAACATAACTTTGTGGATTTAGACATACTTTGTTGAGTACTTTTGATTACTTAACTGCTAAATTTATAAACCTGAGGATCGGACTACCTTAAATAAAGTAGTAATGAATCAAAAAGGATACAGTATTTTATGTTTATTGTAAGACCGATGCCCAACTAAGACAGTTCTCAACTTTATTAATGTCATAAATAATTACTATTAGTGCCGCGCAAAGGACAAAATTTGCAGCTCTCTACCGGCAAGTGGCGAGGTCTCCATAGACGTATGCAATTTAATTAAATTTTAAACTTTAGACAAACGTTACTTCCGGTTTGATATGGCTTTTCTGCCCGCCGGTCCGACACGTGATATGGATTTTCGGACCAGTCCTTGATATGGCGTATTGTGACGTCATCCGTATCACAGTGTGCAGAATCTGTGTATTTACTAAGTATATGATAAAAAAATTCTATGCATCACATAAGATGTCGGTAAAGGGGCTCAAATAATGACAATTCCCGAGGGTGATTAAGCTAACGACTATAGCTACCGGTAAGTTCATCTTGATAAGTGTTCGGGGTTACAAAAATCTTAGTCAAGAGACTTAAAGCTCTCATTTATTTAGCTCAATGGTACAAAACAGGCAAGGAAAGTTGCTTTATATGTCATATCGACTTGATTTCTCACAGTCATAGCACGAAACAAGATCTTCCAAATACGAAAGGATCGCATTACCTCATTAGCTTCTTACAATCAGTCAATGTACAGAAAATTTATCAAGAAAATTTTGCTAAACAATGTCTACCAAATTATCACGTGAAAGCAATTTTATCTTTTCTGACAAGATAAAGTTATATAGCAAGTTAGCAACAGCATCTGAAACTTTTTTTTCTGGCAGAATCTATTCTTTTTTGGCAGATGCCACTCTGAAAAGATGCAGCGAAATCCTGAAAAGCTTTTAAGAGTAATGAAAGTGGATCGCAATTCTTTTATATGTTAAAGATTCCGGTAGAGGAACAAATGCGTAAATCCAAGGAAAAAATACGCTACAAAATCGATGCAGAATTAATGGAGATATCGGATTTAAAAAAAAACCAATTCACGCCTGAATCGAACGGTTGCTGGCTTTGGACCACTGTGACATCACTGCATGGACCAGCCATTGAGAAGGCTAAGAAAACACTGGAGTTATGCTGATGTTTTGAGCGATTCTCTTACTTTGTAGCAACTCCAGAAAATTTAAAATAGCTAATATTAGTTTCAGTTTATATATCTTTACAAAAAATATATTCATTTTTGTTCTTTTTCTGGCATTGATAATTAAAAGTGAAATAAAGGTTTGTTAATTCTTACTGATCTTTAAAAACCCTTTTCGTGAAAAAAAATATTGTAAAACAATAAAAATATTGTCCACTCGGCGTAAAACAATTATGATCAATCAATGAAACGTCTTTAATATAGAACAAAAAATTATGTAAGACATGCTTTTCACAAAAAAAAAAATTATAGACAAAAATGACACCACAAAAAATAAAAAATAAAAATATTTTTCGTGAACTTTTTGTTGATATCAATAAACAAATTATCTTTTAAATATATTTGAAATCTAACGACTTAAACAAATTATTCTTTTTTATTTTAAATGTGTTAACATAAAGTGGGATCAACATTTACACGTTACATTGAATAAGAATCTTTTAACCTTACCCTCATTTAAACTGAGTGATTGTCATCGAAAGCTTTTTACATAAATTAACCCACTAGTAATGGACAAATAAACTGCGTTTGATGTACGCCATATTTCCAATAACAAATAAAAATATTATATACACCTTTCACACGATAATAAAGTATCTGCGTTGTCCTTTCACTTGTTTTCATTAAGTATAGTAGTTAACAAGACAATGGCGTTCAGATGTTTTTTCTTGTATGTTTACTTGCTATATGAACTTCAAGGCAAATGTAAGTTATATTAAAATTATTTTTTTTACTTAAGTGCATTAATTGAGAAATTAGCTGCTAAGATCGAAAGCAACAAATTGAATTGAATCATAGATATGATCTTACATTTGTATTTAGAAAGAAATCAAAGAACATCATTGCAAATAAAATGTTATATTTAGGAAACATCAAAATCTATAAGATGTTAGCAATTAACATTTCAAAGGCAGACCAAGTGACTTGAACAAACATTTCTTTTTCGATCCCTTCATAAAATTAAGTTTGTAAATAGTAAGCACTGTTTGAAGTTTTTGAAAATGATTCGGCGAAATTGTTTATATTGGTGCTGATAGCATAACAGCGAAATTGAATGTATAGATTAAATATGCATCATTTAAATATAATTTTAAAGGTTTGGCTGATGATAGGGGGATAGTTCTGGGAGTCTGGAATAATGCTTCACTGTCTACAATCACGAAAATACCAACTTCTGGGACGAATCAAATAACCACAATTCCTTTTCCGTTGAATCCAATAAACACAAAAATCACAAGTATCGCAGCTGTTCCAAGAAACAAAATGTTGTTCGTATCTGCTGGAAGAGAAATATTTGCAATTAACAATTACAGTATTTGGCAGAATGAATCTTTGACCTTTTCAGTGATATTCAGTGGAAAGTCATATGCCTTTGGTCAAATTGCATTTGATCATCTATCGAATAATCTATATTGGTGCGATGGATTTCTCAACTGGATAGCTATGAAATCATTGAATGTGAACAATACCAATACCACGTACAAAGTAATCATTGATAAACATTTGGAACAGCCGGAAGGGCTCGCACTTGACCCTGAAGATGGGTATGTTAATATAAATAGAAACTTGAAAACATGAAGATGAGTAATATGTTAATATGAATAGTAACATGTGAATAGGTATGTAAGTATGGTAGAAACATATAGGTAGGTATGTAATTATAAAAAGCATGGAGACGTATATGTGAATATGAATAATTATGATAACATGACAATTGGAATGAATTTATATTTACTTTCATTTGGATGGGCATTGTTACGCCATACAACGACGCGTGGGGCCGTATGATTTAATCATTGATGTAAAACAATATTTTTAGATCTTGCTCGAGGGTTATGGTTATCTAATGTTATGAATTCAGATTTCGTTTAGTGTTGACTTAGTTATCTAACAAAATTCCTCTTTATTTTGTTGATTTTTACCTATATACACCCTGTATTGCAGATTGCTATTCTTTTCCGAGAACTCGCCGAGTGTTCGAATAGAAAAAGCTTCCTTAGATGGAGAGAATAGATCTGTTATTGTATACAGAAGCTTGTTAAGAATAATGTCCCTTTCCACGGATACTGAAAACAACCTGCTGTATTGGGCTGATCTTGATCGAGAAACAGTGGAGGTTTGTAACTATGACGGGTCTAACAGAAAGGTCCTGAGACGAATGGTTGATATACCACTCACAGGAGTACAATATTTTGAGGTAATCCTTTTTCGTTACAAATATGTGTATTTTAAATAGAGTTTTACTTTAAATTTTAATCTTCAGTTTAATCTTTATAAATAATGAACAGTAGATTCACGTACTGCTTCATTTTTGGTAGTTCTTGTGCTAAATACATCGTAAAACCGGAGTATGGAAGCGTATTGATACAATCATAAGATTAATCTTATTTATTGACAGGGTGTGATTCACGGTGTAAGCCTTCGTAGAAGAAAGCTTGTAGGAATTGACGTCAATTCGAGAGAAATTCTGTACGAAGTGACATTACAAATCGGTGATCCATTTGTCTTAGCTGTTTATGATGTTAAAACCAACACAAGTTTGACTGGTACGTATGATTTTAGAATTCAAACTAATTCTATAGTTTATAATGTTTCGATTTTCTTTTCATTTTAATACATGCATATTATTTAGTTTTAACGTTTCCAGGGTAGTTTGATTTAATCATGCCACTCATCTTTTGGAGTAAAAAAGAATTGTTTTAAATGACCGTTCCTACACGTCACAAATTATAAAATAATTTTCAAATAACCAAAATTACCAAATTTTCATTTTTATAAACTTGTGAGAGAATATAATGATATCTGAATGCTAATATCAAAATAGTGAGTAGTAATAGTACTTAGTCAGTAATGAATTTCATGATCATCCATTCCTTCCTTAGATCCATGCTCTGGTCAGTATTGCCAGCACATCTGTGTCAACACTCCACCAGGTCCAAAATGTCTCTGTGCTGAAGGATATATACTTGGAGCTGATAGCTACTCTTGCAATGGTAAGTAACGTCCAATTATAAATACATATATTTCATTTACAGTCATGATTGCTCTTTCCTACGGAAGCCCATTTAGGACCTATCAAAAAATATTTTTGAATTCGTTACAACGATTTTTAGAATTCATTATAACGAATTTAATTTGTTATAACAGATTCATTGAATTCGTTATATCGAATTTAATTTGTTATAACAGATTCATTGAATTCGTTATAACGAATTTAATCTGTTTTTACAGATTTATTGAATTCATTATAACGAATTTAATCTGTTATTACAGATTTGTTGAATTCGTTATAACGAATTTAATCTGTTATTACAGATTTGTTGAATTCGTTATAACGAATTTAATCTGTTATTACAGATTTGTTGAATTCGTTATAACCAAATTCTTGAATTGGTTATAACGAATTCAACAAATCTGTAATAACAGATTAAATTCGTTATAACAAATTCAATGAATCTGTAATAACAAATTAAATTCGTTATAACGAATTCAATGAATCTGTAATAGCAAATTAAATTCGTTATAACGAATTCAATGAATCTGTAATAGCAAATTAAATTCGTTATAGCGAATTCAATGAATCTGTTATAACAAATTAAATTCGTTATAACGAATTCTAAGAATCTGTTATAACAAATTAAATTCGTTATAACGAATTCTAAGAATCTGTTATAACAAATTAAATTCGTTATAACGAATTCTAAAAATCGTTATAACGAATTCAAAAATATTTTTTGATAAGTCCTAAATGGGCTTCCGTACTTCCGTACTTTCCCCCACCAAACATTTAAAAAAATAAATTTACTTTCTTCAATTGATACATGTATAATGTAAACAGATGTATCAAAAATATTATTGTTTTTTTTTTTACTTTTGCCTTTTATTTTCAGAGAGATCCTGGTTTTATGACAAAGGAATTATTGTAAATAATGCGACTATGTTTTATATGTTGGATACAAGATCATTAAACGGACAGGCAGAGAGGGTTCCTTATTTTCAAATTCCTACTGCAATAATGACAACGTTTGCCATTAACGCTTATTCAAGAGAAATATACTTTGCTGACGCAAAAAGGAATGAAATATACAAACTTGACATTTATACAAACCGTTACTCTAATATTCTTTCTACAAATCCCGTAGCAGGTATACTTAAATATTAAATGGAGTTTTCATTTATAGTAAAATAAAAATGGAGATGGAGTTTTCAATTTAAGTAAATTTTAAGAAAAGATCATATGTTAATTCAAGAAGATTGTGTTAACATGCATGTCGTAGAAGGAACAAAGAAATTGAGTAAGTAAGAAGAAAAATATAAAACTAATTTATGGATTTATTAAAAGGCTTCTGATGGGTCCTGAATCTTGTTCGAAATATATTTGTTTATTGAACTGTTGCTCACAAAATATAGTTGCTGAGTATATAAAAGATAACGTGACATTTTCATTTCTTTATCTCTCGATAGACTGGAAATGTTAAGTTAATTTATTGATACAAACATTTATTTTAGATCTAAACTATGATTGGATTTCTAATTTGCTTTGTTGGATTGAACCTAACCAGTCTTCAATAAGGGCTTATTATCTGAAAACCGGAAGTGTCTCAACAGTTTACTCCAACCTTCAGCAACCCATATCACTCACGGTTGACGCAATGAATGGGTTTGTTACTATTCATTAATATTAATTAATTAAGTTGTACATTTCTACCGTTTCTATACTTGATTGAAGAAACACTGTTTTGTGAAATAAATATATGATTGAATCAAAGCTGAATATGTATATATTTTTATGGGTCAGATTTATTTCTATTCCTTGATAAAAATAATGTTATTTTCTTTTTAATTATAAACTCAAATGTAAAAACATTTATCTAGTGGGAATAGTGACATAAACACAATGTCCAAAATTTTGTGATTTACATGTACAGGTCACAGATTTTCTGTTGTAAAAGTTTTTCTCCGAAGAGTAATATTCTTGCTACAATGTACTTCTTTTTTAAAGTATTCGTGATTATTTCTACAGAGCAATATTCTGGATCTCATCTACGACATCCTCTATAATACGAGGAAGCTGGGACAGAAATCCTCCAAAAACCCTTATATCTGACTTGGATGATCCGATGTTCCTTAAATATGACATTACAAGTCAAAGGTATTGACTGAAACTGCATGTATCCTCAAGCTTTCATTTGTGATTTTTGGTTGGATTTCAAGATATGCATTATTCAAGACACATACATACAATGTAATATCATCATATTTATTATTTCATATTTTATCATAAACTAAAGATGAGTGAGTGGAAGTGTACATTTGCTGATGACAATCATATACATTTATCTGACGGTCACAGATTTGGGAACTGTGCTTTAATAATTGAACATTGTACCCATTACATATGTTCATGATCAGAAGCAAAAAAAAATTCTTTTGATGAAATTTGAGGATAAATTAAATTGAAGATGTTTGAATTGTTCTATTTTTTAATTCGTGTACAATTTTTGTAATACATGTAAGATCATTTTTATTGTTTACAGGATATTTTGGCTGGAGAGTAGTGTACTCGTAAAAAGTTCACAGCCCAGTGGCTCAGACATTAAAAGTCATATCATAGCCTCCCGTGCAACAGATCTCTTTATTTACAAGGTCCTATGCAAGTTTAGTTTTTAAATACTTTTATCTGTCTAGGATACCATACGTATGTTTAAATTATTTATTGTAAATTTCACACGTTTTAAGTAATTTATGGAAAGGAAAATAATTTTGTAAGCCAAAGTAATTTCTTTTGTTTTAAATAATTACATCATTCAATATCTTGAAGATCAAAAACTGATGAAATACGTCAATAATTTCTACGAGTTGCTGAATACATGCGATGGAAATTATTTATATATTATGCAAATTTTTAATTAAAAAAACAACTTTAAATCATTCATTTAAAATGATTTTTAGGATTTCATTGGCTGGCTAAGTGGAGAGGAAATTCACTTTTCAAGCAAAACATCTTCTGCATCAGAGGTTTATTTCAATATATTTCCAAACCCAGTGCAGGTTAAAGCATTTGATCCAATTCTGCAAGATGATTTAAAAGGTAATCTGCTCTCATCTTTCTAATAGTAATATGTAATAACTGATAAGTATAATATTGAGATATTGAACTTATATTGGTAAATATTGGTACAAGTTAACGAGTTATTCCTCCATTGTTGATGTTTTAGATTAATATTCTGTTTCAAAATTGTATTGAGAAAAAATATGCACCCTTACAATGTATGTTATCTGCAGGATATAAAAACTTCACAATCAACCCAATGTTTTTTTTTTAAATGATCAAACAACAGGATTAATCTTTGTATTTTTTTTTATTTTGTAGGCACTTGTCAAATTCTCAATGGAAGATGTGGTGATATTTGTATTCCTACAGAAAACAAAAGTAAATGTGAATGCGACATTGGCTTACAACTCCAAGCAGATCAAAGGTCATGTGATAGTAGTGAGTATTTATTTATATTTAAGAGTAGTAGCACAATGATAAAGAACAGCGATCAATCTTAGAAAACGAACCCTAGGAATTGACAGGGGTGGGTCTGATGCCTTGGTTATGCCTAGGAGGAGAAAACATTCCCTATCGACCCACACCCACTATAAGAGTCATATGTACAGATCAGATAGACACCATTATCCGTTGTCAAATTAAGTATTAAAAACAAAGACCAATCATTTAGTATGAAAAAGTTAGCCAAAAATAAGATGTAATTCTTGCTATTAATAAATTTGCCAGAGGTAAATGTTATATATAAGCAGGTGATAATGTTTTTGATAAAATTTAGTTGTAAATTGGTCCTATCATCTTCAGTGCAGTAAAAATGCCCAAATATGGACAGAGGTAGCAGACTTTTGGTAAAATGGCATTTTTTCTTTATTTTGTAGATTTTCTGAATTCAGATTTTATAATTGCATCTGATTTCACCCACGGACGAATACTACAGATCAATTTTCATACAGGAGAAATTGTTAAACTACCAATTAATGTTCAACCCACCTCAGGAATTACTTTAGATAAAACGACAAAGGAGATAATTTATTTCAATTCAGAATCGAGAACAGTACAAGTATTTACACTTCAAGGAAAGATGGCAACCTTGACAACTCTTACAGGTACCAGTATTAGTCTATATGTTATTTTTTTCCTGCCCATTCCACGATTTATGTAAAATGGCTTCATTTTTTTTTTTGGACAAAATCCAAAATTGATATAAAATGGTGAATGTTCTTTTCAAAGTTTATATTGTAGGATATCAAAGAACAAGGTTCACTTTTGCCTTATTTGGCCCTGTGAATTTCTGAAAAACTGAAAGGGCATAGTTTTAGTTAACTTAAGGAATGACTCTAATTCTTGGCCATATTATCGAGTATAATCTGGTTTGGGTCAGTATACGTTTAAAATCCGCGAAGCAGATTATAAAATAGCGTAAACTAACCCAAATCAGATTATACTCGATAATTTGGCCAAGAATTAAAGTCATTCCTTATAATTTAATTCTAAAATAATTAAGCAACTTTGGATGTAAAATTATGCTGCTTTTCATGAGTTTAAATTTACCGCGCAATAATACAACCGTAGTAACGGAAGTGATTTGAAGCGAGGGGAGGTAATAAATAATACAAGGATCTAGCAGCCATGATGTTTGTTTACACGAGGTAAGAACGAGTAATTGTTTAAAGTTGAAGGTACATTTATTGAATTTGGAATTTTCCATGGATTCGACTGGAAATGAGGGGATTACATGGATATGATGATTAAGCTGGTCGTCAAGGGGGTGTGTCCCCATACCAAACCAGATTATACAAAATGTTTTGCGTTCCTTTTTGGAATTCAACCAATGAGAGGCGATAATACGAACAAAATTAAATTATAATGCATTAAAAAACACTTAGATCTTTGGTGACTGTGTATCTATCAAAAATGACGTCATACTCTGGCTAGTCAATGCATTATGACGTCACGAAATGCGTCAATTTCCTCATATTCTGAAAAAGTCTACAAAAATGGCCAATTTTTAAACCTATTTTTTATATTTAATATAGAGCGCAACCTCTGATCTAAAATATGCAACTAGTAAATGATAGAACTGTTTCTGTGGATTAATGGACATGTTTTATTTTTTAGATCAGTGAGTACGCTCATATTATTTTTCTCCACTGAAAGTACTCAATTTTACCTGTTTACCTAGAAATTCAAGAACATTGCAATTTCATAAAGCCAGTTCTCCCAGACCAGGCCTTTTAGAAGAATTTTTCTAATAGGATATTAAAGCACCAAGTCTCTATTTTATTATAATGCTTCAAATAGAAAATCTAGTGTTGATCAATTAATTGGTATGTTTACAGGGCCATTTTATGCATAAAGTGAACCGACTTCTTTGATACTGTTTTATGAAAAGTGAGACAGAGAGAGGAAGTCAATATATATATAAAATGGTTGTGTAACAAAATGTAAATACTTTGTTTTATGAATCTTTAATAAAAGGTCTTTTTATACATATGTAGGTACAAATAAACCTCTTAACATATCGATCAATGTGTCTTATGTTTGTATGCATGTTTTATCAAGGTTTTACTAATGCTGAGAGTATAGCTGTTGATCAATCAACTGGAAACATTTACTTCACGGCCATTTCTTCTCAGCCAAATAGTAGTTATGTTGGAGTGTTACACAGAACGCAATTGGTTCACAAAATATTAATACATGACTTGCAAAATCCAAAAGCAATTGTGTTGCATTCAGCAAAAGGGTATGTATTTGTTATTAACATCAGTCATGCATGTATTATCGGGTTTATTCAGATTAAGATGATTAAAACCATCTTTACATATTCTTAAACTCAATATTCATATTAACTATTCACAAATGCCTTTTGCATTTAGAATACTGTTTTGGACAGAGACTGGAATATTTCCCAGAATAGTAAGGGCATCTATGGATGGTACATCTAAAGAATACATAGTAACAATCGATGGTGGATCGCCAAATGGTTTAGCTTTGGACTTTGAAAGTTTGTTTTTGATTTCTTAAGTTTTATATTTGCTTCAAAATATTTCC